CTTAATGAGGTTGTCCCATCTGAGCCCCTTCTTCTTTCTCCACTTCTTCACTTGCTTCACCCTTCTCTCAGCTATAGTGTCAAACTTCGGTTCCAGGGATTATGTGGGGATTTTCTACATTCCCACCGTCCACTGATACGTAAAACTATTTTGTGTGCAACCCCTTGACGGATGAGGGAAGCCCTGCCACCAACTTTATTCTCGCTATTGCCTGTAGAGTCACCCATGTCTCCTGTTGGCTTGAGGCTTTATAGTAGAAGAAAAATGTCCACCGTCATTGCCTCTCCATCGGTTGCCTGCGGTAAAGAGATTGCACACACGAACAAAATCTTCTACGCATTCGACATCAATTGGCCTGGCGCCACCTCTAGTCGATTTAGCACGTCGATGACGAGCTGTGGGAGTGGCAGTCTCAACCCTCCACGGAGCGCCTCTTCATATAGAGCAAACTCCCCTAGTTGCGTGTCTGACGCCCTCTCTGTTGTTGTTGCACTACAAGAAAAGTGGGCTTAAAAGACGGAACTTTTTGCGACGACACAACTTGCCGTCGCAAAAAATGTGACTTTTTGAGACCGGCACAACTTGCCGTCGCAAAAAATAGAGTATTTGCGACGGCATAAAATGTTGTCGCGAAAAAAGAAAGTATTTGCGACGGTAGAAATTGTTGTTGCAAAAAAAAATAGAGTATTTGCGAAGGCAGAGATTGCTGTCGCAAAAAAATAGAGTTTTTGCAACGGTATCAGCTGCAGTCGCAAAAAAAAAGAAAGAGTTTTTTGCGATTGTAATAGGTACCGTTGCAAAATTAAATAAATAAATAAATAAATATATATATATATATATATATATATTGTGGCTTTGAGACGGCTTCATATATATATAGTCACAAAATGGTTTAAATAAATGCAACGGTATTTTTCTATCACAAAAAAAAAAAAAAGACATCGTCGTCTTACTCTTTTGAACATTTCTTTTTTCACTTATTTTTTCATCTTCCTATCTCTCTGTCTCTGCCTCTGTCTCTCTTCTCTTTCTCTCTCTCTCTCTCTCTCTCTCTCACTCATTACTCTTCTCTGTCTGTCCGTCTCTCTCTCTCTCTGTGTCTCTGTCTCACTCATCACTCTTCTCTGTCTGTCTATTTCTCTCTCTCTTTCTCTGTCTGTCGTCCATCTCTCTTCTCTATCTCTCTCTTCTATCTTCTCTCTCTATCTCTTTTCTCTTTATCTCTCTCGCTTATCTCTCTCTCTCGCTTATCTCTCTCTCTCTCTCGTTTATCTCTTTTCGCTCTTTTTTTTTCTCTCTCTCCCTCTTTGTCTATATCTTTTCACCTATTTTTTCATCTTCCTCTCTCTCTTCTCTTTCTCTCTCTCACTCATCACTCTTCTCTCTATGTCTCTCTCGTTCATCTCTTTTCTCTCTCTCTGTCTCTCTCGTTCATCTCTCTTCTCTCTCTCTCTTTTTCTGTCTCACTCTCTCTCTCTCTCCCATTGTGTTCGCGTTGCGCACTCTCTCCCTCCCGTCTTCTCTATTTACTGAGCTCCCTCTCGATTTATCGTTCCACTACAAGAAAATGCACTTTTAGTGATCACTTTGTCTCTCTCACTCATCACTCTCTCTGTTTCTTTCTCTCTCTCTCTCCTCTATTTGTCTCTCACTCATCTCTCTCTCTCACCACCCATCTCCTTTACCACCTTCACCAGTACTGCAAACGCCATTTCACTATCACCATTACTACCACTGTCGCCACTTCACCTTTACGACTACCATTACTACTACCATCAACACCACTCCACTACCACCACTATCACTACCATTACCTCTCCTTCACCCCTGTCACTCCATTTACTTTACCATTACCACAACTTCACCACTAATCTCCTTCACCATCACCACCACCACCGCCACCATCACCATCACCATTATCTCTTATCCTCCACCACCATCACCATCATCTCTTATCCACCACCTTCACCACTACTGCCGCTCTCTCTCCTCTACCACAAAAAATTAGTTCATGATTTTTAGTAACAAAAAAAATGGGCTGCAGAAAAATATTTTTCATTGACCATAGAAAATTAACTTTTATTTTAATGGAAAATATTTTTCATTAAAACATTACCCCTACTTCTACCAAAGTAAAAAAATAAGAATAACTTTTTATTCATTAAAATAAAAATGAAACAAATAAATTTTCAACCTTAATAACTAAAAAAAATAAAGAATAAAAAAATAAAAAAAATTTCATTAACTATAAAAAAAAATTTATTTTAACAAAAAATAATTTTTTTTTTTTAAAAAAAGAGCCATTTTGTTGTTTAAATATTCAATTGTGACGGAAACCAAGAAACAAAAAAATATTCCCGCTCGATTTTCCACCCCCCTTTTTTTCCATTCTCGCTCGGCTTCCCCCCCTCCCCATCGCTTGAACCAAAATCCCCAATCTCAAAAACCAAAAATCCCAAAAAACCAAAAATTCCTAATTCTTACGGCTCTGCCGAATTCGAGAAGATCTGACTAAGAGGGTATCTAGGCTCCAATCTGTGGAGATCGAAGCCATGGCCGTTTGCCACTCATTTTCCACGATTGTACTAACGGTTGTAGCCACGACTACTGCCGGCGAGTGAGGAAGAGAAGAGATGAGAGGCGAGCGTTTAGAGATGGAGGTGCAAGAAGAAAGTGAAGAAAAGGTGTATAGCTTTGCAAAGTTGTTTTTTTTGGAATTGGAGAGGCGAAATAGAGAGGAATGGTGGTCATCGCCATTGTTGCAATTGCAGAGCTGTGTGTGTGCGCGCGCGCTGCCGCGATCTACCTAGGGTTAGGGTTTGGGTTTCGCACCACCCCCTTCCCTCAGATCTGCCCCCTTCTGTCATCTCCATCTCTGTCTCTGTCTCTGTCTCTCTCTACATATATGTTGTGTTTTCTGGTTGATAGTTGAATCAGACATTGGTTTTTGATCTATTTGTTCATTGATATCTATTTGGATCTCTCTGAATCTATATATATATATATATATATCTTGGTTTTTGCTCTGTTTGTTCATTGATATGTGTTACTTTTCTGTGTAGTCTATTTCATATGCTTTCTTAGAGAAGGATGATAGTGGTGTTAGGTTGATGATGATAGATCATAGATGCACCATAAGTGCTTATGGTGTCCTTCACGTTTGTGTGTGTGTTTGTGAAGACCATGTAAAGCTTGTTTGAGAATGAAAAGAACTTCAAAGTTTACTATCATTCTATGTTGAATCATTTATCTATGATGATGTATGTGCACATGTGCTTGTGAGTTATGACCTGTACATTTTTACTCGAATCGCCTCCTATAGCTTTGATGTGCTTCTCTCATCTAGGAGTGAAGCTACTCCATTGTCAATTTCTATTGAAATATAGAATGGTGTCCTATGCATTTGCCGTGCAACATCCCCTTTTTAATGAGAACAATTGTAGACTTTAGAATGTTGGGAACACTGACAGTGTCCATGACTTCACGCTTTATTGTACTTTGATTAGGTTCCTATAGTAGATAATATATGTTCCTTGTGGGTTGTTTGGTGCCATTTGAGAAATTTACGACTGGACTTGTAACAAAAGGGAACTTCCAAAGGAAATTTACGACTGGACTTAAAATTGACACTCCGAAGTTTCATTTTTCATCTTCCAGCAATAAACCTAAGAAAAATTATCTGTCAAGGAACTTGATTGCACTTCTTAGCTATGGAGGGGTCCCTAAAGAATACTTTTTGGATATACTGACAAATACTTTGGAAGATCCTCAGTGTGTTTGCTCCAATAAGTGAGAATAAAACAAATTCATGATTTATTTGTGGTGTGGCATATTCTGCATGATGCTTAGACCTAATTGGCAATTGAAAATTTTCTACATTTGCACTGAGCACATTGGATTTAAAATGAGTGATTAATTTCCATTACCTAACTATTTTTTAGTTCACCTATCATTTAGGTGTATCTTGCATTATATTCTGTCATTCATCATTTGAAGGTGCATCCTGTTCACTTATTAAGAATGATAATGGATTTCAGGCTGTAAACCAGTTATGTAGTCATTTTGAAGCCTATAAAGATTTTCCCAAGGTCACTGAGCTCAGGGAGAAATTTAAGAACGTAAAACAAATTCTGAAGTCTCATGTTTTCTCTGATTTTTCAAGGTATGTTAAACCTGTTTGGCACAATACCTGAGAACATTTTTATATTCTTGGAGTTACAAAACGGAAAGAAGGTTGAATATCTGTTTGGTTCCTTGTTTTAGGAAATTCGTTTCCTTAAATCAGTTGATGAGGGAATGTTTTCTTATTTCTATTAACATTAAAATGATGCTTTTTGTTCTTTGTTCTCTGTTTTCCAATCAAAATAGTAAAATGATCTAAAACTTGTTCTAAATTTTTTTCAATGCTTTCAGGAAACTTGTTTTATAAACCCATTTCTGAAGTTTGAATAAAAAATGCCTGCTTGACTGTGAAGTTCTATACACAATGTTTTTCTATACACTCTGTTTTTCTAAAGCAGTTAATTAGGTACTCCATGATAATGCTAATGATATGTTGTTATTTAATTTTAATCTTGAATTTATGTTTTGAATTTATCACATTGATTCTGTTTTATGCACATCTACGTGATGTGACTTCATCTGAAGAATTAACTTAAAAACTGGCAGCAGTAGCAACTGGTTAGACTAGTGAGCTGCCTAACTCACTTAGGTGGTTTGCCACCCAAAAGATGCAGCAACTGGCAGTAGCAACAACTTACAGCAGTAGCAAAAACTGCTCTACAGCAGCAGCAGAGCAGCTCTGCAGCAGTAGTAACAACTAAGTGCTTATTGATCTTCCAGTTACCATTATAAATTTAAGTGGAGAGTAATTTCTTGAGGGTTGAGTGCACAAGATCTTGGTTATGGAGGCAGCCACTCTACTATGGAAAAACATAACATTGATTGGCTTCTTTTGTGTGTGCTTCTGATTTTAGGATTTTAGGATTTTAGGATTCAGAGTCTGAAGAAAGTAATCTACTGCAGCAGTTAGCAGATGCTTGCTTAGTTGTTGATGCCTTGGAGCCATCTGTAAGGGAAGAGTTGCTTCAAAATTTTTGCAGCAGGGAGCTTACTTCATATCAACAGATCTTTGAAGGAGCTGGTTTGTTCAATTCTATACTTGTTTTCATTTAGTTCATTTACCACTCGCATATATATATTTCTTTTGATGACCATCATCTTGAAAGTTTTTATGTTAACTATTTTGTTAGAACTAGCAAAGTTGGATAAAACTGAAAGGAGATATGGTTGGATTAAGCGTCGGTTAAGAACAAATGAAGAAATCTGGAAAATATTTCCTCCTTCATGGCATGTTCGTTATTTTCTGTGTATCCAGTTCTGCAAGTTGACAAGGTCTGCCATCTACTACTCTTTTGTTTGTTTGAATATTCATCTTTGTGTTATGGAAGAACTCATAATGTGATCATGATACAGTAATCAATTTTAAAACAGAGGTACTATCCAAATGTACATGAGGTTTTTGACACTGCAAATCCACAAAAGCCTTAAGTATATTAAGTAATATGTTACTGCTGTTGCTATTGCTGGCAAAAGAGCACATAAGGCTGTTCTGTTTCCTTTTTTGTTAGAACCTGATCTACGCAATCCTTCAGTTCTATTTACATTTTCTTGAAAGGAACGGTGTTGGCATCCTTGTTATTTTGGATTAAGGTCTTCCCTTTTCTTTGCATTCTTTTGTAGATTTTTTGGGGGATTTATACATTTTTGTAAATACATAGCGGGTGGTTTGATTTTTGTCTTTTTGTTATTTTTTGTTACACTTGTAGGGCCGTGTGAGACCCTAAGATGGTGTTTTGCAAGTTGTATATGGGAGGCATCCCCTTGATGCTTTTACTGCATTTACTAATAAAAAAAGAAAAAATATGAAATCTAATAATAGTTCAGAGTAAATGTTACAAAGATTTCCACAGCATAATTTACATGGTAGGATGTTAATATATTCATGTCCACAAATAAATCATGAATTTGTTTGGGAGTTAGAGTCGGATTTCACTCTAGGCAAACTAGCTCCTTAAGAAACTTGAATTCGAGGTGTTGACACTCCAAAGTCACCAAACGGGGTCGGATTAGCACAAAACTCGACACACACGACTGCCTAGGCATGAGAGACTTGTGGGAGAAGACGGGACTCCAATCGAGTTCCCGGTTTGAGAGTTAGAGTTGGAATTTGGTCTAGGCAAACTAGTTCATTAAGAAACTTGAATTCGAGGTGTTGACACCCCAAAATCACCAAACATCGGTTTAGCACGAAATTTGGCACACACGACCGCCTAGGCACGAGAGACTTGTGGGAGAAGACGGGACTCTAATCGAGTTCCTGGTTTGGGAGTTAGAGCCGGATTTCGTTCTAGGCAAACTAGTTCCTTAAGAAACTTAAATTCGAGGTGTTGACGTCTCAAAATCACCAAACGGGGTCAGATTCGCATGAAACTTGGCACACACGACTGCCTAGGCACGAGAGTTGTGGGAGAAGACGAGACTCCAATTGAGTTCTCGGTTTGGGAGTTAGAGTCGGATTTTGGTCTAGGCAAACTAGTTTCTTAAGAAACTTGAATTTGAGGTGTTGACACTTCACAATCACCAAACGGAGTCGGATTAGCACGAAATTTGGCATACACGACCGCCTAGGCACGAGAGACTTGTGGGAGAAGACGAGACTTCAATCGGGTTCCCGGTTTGGGAGTTAGAGCCGGATTTCTGTCTAGCCAAAATTGTTTACTTAATTATCTTTGTATTTATATAGTAGTTAATTTTTTTATGTTTTTTTGTTATTAAAATATTAACACATAATTATATTGTCATTAATTATTTTTATTTTTTGTTAACAGATAAATTGCTACTCGTGGAATGTAGGCGGGAGTTAGATTGCGACTAATTTTTGTTTTTGTTACCTACGGAAATATCATGAGGAAAACTTTTGTTTTTGATTTATGTTATTTTGATTTGTGAACAACATTATGTATTTAAACATTGTACATGTATTATGCAATATTATGTAGTGGGATAATTTTGCTGGTGTGTTGTTATGAATGGAATAATATTTTTATTATGAATGAATTGTTGTTTTTATACTGAAATTTTTATATTATTATATAATTATCGGTTTCTTTTTTAGTTATTTTTTATTTAATACAAGTAATTTTAATATTTTTATTGCTGTTTTTTTTTTGTGGCAATGTCATCATTGCCGTCGCAAAAGATATTTGCCAATAGTTGGAAAAAATCTTTCGCAACAGTCTTGTTTGTCGTCGCCAATAATATCCTAGCGATGGCGTCTGTGCTGTCTCAGTAACTTTTAGCGACGGCAAGTACCCCAGTCGCAAATAACACTTTTAGAGCATCTCCAACGGTGAACCAAAATTTTCACCAAATTTGAGTAAAAAAAAGTCAATTTTCTCAATCTAATATGGCTTGCTCCAACCGTGCATCAAAAGGGAAGGGGCGGTAAGGCTAATTTTTTTTTTTAACCTGCTTGAACCTTTTTGACCGGTTTGAACCTACGTATTTGAAAGAGAACCAGTCGACCGGTGGGTAAAATTTATCTATAACTATCTTAAGGTTTAATAATTCTCTTGTGATATTTAAAGAACAAAAGACGTAAGGAGGCAACAAGGCAGATGGCCGCAGTAAGCCCTTCAAAAAGGTGAGTTCCAGAATATCTAGGAAAAATTATTAAAGACCTTGGTAGTTTATTTAGATAAGATCTGTGCCATTCATAGAGTCCCAAGGGAGTCCAGAATGCAGTCCATTCAATAGAGTCAGGATGCATTGCAACCTGATGAAACCCGCTCTTTAGATCAAACTTTGAATAAATACGACTATGGCCAATTTTTGCCATAATTGTATTTATGCCAGGTAGTCTATATTGATCCTTATGAGTGTTGTCATTGAGTCGTTTGTAATTACAAACCATCCGCTCTTTTCCTCGTCGTTCTTCCTTTGTGATTGGATCAATATAAGTGCCTGAATTAACAATGAAAGCAGTCGTTCGATGTCTGCTTTTGCTAGGTCTGATAACCTTGAGTTCCAGAAGCTGATCAATATGCTTCTTAAAGCTTTCCTTCATAGCAGGTGTGACGTGCTTCATTGGTTTATCATCAATGGTAAAATCAGAATTCTTCAAGTCCAACTTGCAAGTAATCTGATTCAAAGACCAGTGTTGCATGGGGTCTTCTCCAATTATCCCACAATTTTGCAGATGCTTTATCAATTTTGGATATTTATCTTCAAAAGTAGGACCAGAGGGATTACGTACCACTGAGTGGAATATCCATTATGCTGAAGGATCGTAATAATGGTCTATCAAGAAGTCTTCATCTACTTCTGCTTCCAATGGATTCACAGATTGTCGAGTCTGGATTGTGATCACATTTTTATAGAATGTGACGTTATCGCCTTCAATCCTTACTCCGCCGTACATTGCTCTGATGAAATTGCATCCGATAATCATTTGAATCCTTCCTCCAAGGTGAAACGGGAAGCTGTAAGTATAAGGGATTCGAAACCAGTTATCCCCGATATACATCTTTCCACCTTTAAGCTTCTTGTTGGCCTTTGATTGTGAATTTATCCCATTAAATTCCACAGTATATGTGTTTGCTTCTAGGGCTTCGGCTGGAACGGATTCCGAGTCGACAACGCATGTTGTTGCTCCAGTATCAAGAATTGCATTTAAAGAGATCTTCTGTATTCCTGGAATTTCCAGTTCAACAGTAAGATTATAAAGCATATTCTTCTTATTCTCTTTGACTTCTCCTTTTGCAACTGTCTCCACCATAACATGGAGCTGTTCTGAGGCCTCCGCTTCTTCTTGTAAAGTCTGAAGTTCGTCTTCCTTAAATTTGCCTTTGGTTCGAAGCTCTTGCTCATCTTTCTCCAGTTGCATTAATAACCTGAGTTCCTCAAGCTCGGTTTTATACTGGATTGCTTCCTCCCGTAGGCGCTTCATTTCAGCTTCACACCATCGAATGTACTCCTGCTGTTCCTGAAGTAGTGGCTTCTGATTGTATGGAATAGGTGGCTTCTGTATGTTGAACGTGGAGAAGTTGAAATAATGGTTAGCACATAGTGCACAGGTTAAAGCATTACATTTGGCACAAAATGCTTTAGACTGAGCAGCTATATTTCTTCTGCAGGTTGTGCATTCAGGTCTCCGATCATGTGGCAATGGATCACGCTGGTTCCATTCATGTTGACAATGATAAATTTCTGGAGAGACCTTCACTTGTTCCCGGTATCCTTCCTTTCCAAGCCAGTAACTTTTATCTGACTCACGAAACATATAAATTGTTTCAACCAAACCCCCACCAATCTGTTCAGTGTCATCAATTCCTTCTGACACAGAATAGATTGCATCGGAATCATCATCTCCTGGTGAAACGGATATAACATCATAATCTTCTGGTATGCCCAGATTTTCGAATAATGCCACCCTTTTGACATTCTTCTTATCCTTCGTGCAATCTCGGGCATAATGTCCTTCTTCCCCACAGAGGTAACACTTACAGTGTTTGGACTTTTGCAAGTATTTTCTCTTGTCAATGCGGACATGAGAAAGATGTGGCTTTCCTTTATATGTTGTTGCTTTACGAATACCATATTTCTTCTCCGTCTCCTTGTAGTATCCTGGGATAGGGATTTCTTTACAGAATTCCAAATTTCGGAGAGATTTTTGAAATGCGGCGTTCTTATGTTCAGCTTCAAGGTACTTGTAAGCGAACAGAATCCTGGGTGCGACTCCGATAGTATTTCCAGCATGTCGTTCATGGTATGCCTTTTTGATTCTTTCTCCAAGATCTCCTGGCATTTTAGACCATAGTTTCTCAGATAACTCTTCGCCAACAAAGAGTCTTCCTGATCTTGTGGCAAGATGCAAATAGTCATTCAGATACTTAACTATATCTTTGACATCTCGACAAGATAATCGTTCAAGGTCACGATAGGCTTCTTCTTGCATCAAAGTGGGCCCTTGATATGGATCTTCTAAAGTAAACACAGTCCTCATTTGGGAGAGGATGTTCTGTGTTCCTTCATTTCCATCACCGATTGCAATTAAATTGGCGAATTCCTCCGTGTACTTCATGCGCCATTGTGTCCATATGAGTTTCTCAGTTTCTCCAAGCATATTTTCGATGAACAGGATTTTGTCTCTGACATCAGTAAATCCTTGCATAGAGACGTGCGCCTTTGTGATAGATTCCCACCTCATAAATACATCATCGAATTTTCCAAGGGGATGAGGTATTATGAACATAGCCCCAGTTGGATGCATGGCTGATGGTAAATTCCACCATTCACTCTTGTCATCTCTTCTAAAATTTCGGAAATTTACG